GGCGATCCTAGCATTGTGGCGATCCTAAAAGTTAGCTCAGTTCCTCTGTGATTATGTACACACTCAAATAGGAAGTGTCTTCAAGTACCTCTGCATCTACCCGATGGATTGACTGTACATCTGCCTCATAAGTGATAATCTCACTGGTTTGAGCCCCTGCATTTTTGCTAGACCTTTGGAAATGATGTAGATTTTATTTCAATGAATACTTGTCCACTTTGACGATACACAACATCTTGACAACACAGTGTTAGTGTACTAATTATTTTTTCACTTATTTTTTCACGCCAGCTTGATTTCAATTTTACATTTACCATAAAGTGTTTTTTCTAGTAAATAAAAAAAAAATTAAAAAAAAACACACACATCAAAGTACACTCAGAACTTTAAATTTAAGGTTGATGGTATTTTAAATCCTGGTATAAATTTCCCGCCAGATAAAACTTAAAATCACTTTGTCTCACCTTTCGGTTTTCCACGACGACTTAAATTCTACTGCTTCTTGTGCTTCATCGTTAAACATAGTATTGCGAGGAAAGATTATGCTGTTTACTTCCTCATCAACACACCAATATTTGTTTCTACCAAAAGCTTTTTCTGTGTCCAAAATTAGAAGTTGTTTTTTGACGATCCAATATGGCGTCTGATCTGTTTACCAAATTTGGAAGTGGCAACAGAGCGCTATTTATCACTGGTAGCTATAGTAACCGCTTTAGGAACAGTCCTCAGAGGGAAGAAGTCAAAATGGCTGCGAGTAAAACAGCTTCGAGTTTCCACAGTATGCCGCATAGAAACGGCACTTATGTGGCCAGCCATGGAGGTAATTCTCCTGCAGATGTTACCCCAGACCTACATCTAAAGATGTCGAAGAAGATCGCTCAACTTACTAAAGTTATTTACGCGCTCAACACCAAAAATGACGAACACGAAAATGTTTTGGAAAACATGAAAACGGCCCATGAAGAAGAGATGCAAAAGCTTATGGCGGAAACGAAAGAAAGAGTTAACTATTTTAAAACCAGGTTAAATGCTGTTTCTGAACAAAGACAGAAGATCGACATGTTAGAGTCGCATTTGTCGAAGGAACGGCTCCAGCGAGAAGAGGCGATGTCGGAATTTGAGAGTTTCAAGCGCCGAACAAATGATGAAGAAGCTCGTTTGAAATCAGAGTTTTCTGATAGGATTTTGACCATGTCCAAGGAGTTATTAACTTCTAAAAAGGAGTTCGAAGAACGCCTGAAGGATTTTCAGGCTACTAGGAAACTGTTAGAGGAAAATCGAGACAAAGCTGTGGAGGAGTTGACAAGCAAACATCACGACGAGATCGACCAGCTCATGAAAGCTCATCGTGTGCGCTACGATGAAGTTGTGAAGGAAAAGCAGAAACTTGAAAAAGAATTTCAGGAAAAGCTTTCTCGGGCAGAAACTTCTAGCGATGCTGTGGCGGAGGAAAGACATCGAATTGAATCTGAGTATCAAGAAAAATTGGACAAACTGAAAGCATTTTACGAAAAAGAATTGGCTGCTTCGCGAACTTTACAAGAAAATTCCAAAGAATTTCAACTGAAAGAGTGGGAAAAAAGAGAGAAGGCTCTTAAAACCGAATGGAATAGACAAGAACGAATCTTTAAGGACAGGATTTCAGAGTTACTAAATCAATTAAGTGACGGAGAGCAACATATGTCCATTTTGAAAACGCAACTAAACGAACTGGAATCCAAACTCGAAGGTAAAGAAGGGGATTCAACAAACTTGGCGAAACAACTCGAGGAAGCGAGGCAAGAGGGATCCAAAGCCCTGAAGAGTTTAAGGGAGACGGAAAGTAACTTAACTGTATCGAAAAAACGGTGTGAGGAGCAAGAGGCCGAGATCGCTCGTCAATCGAGTAAGTACCGTAGTTCACATATAACATTCATCACTTCAAGGGTTTCTTTACTAACCAACATTATGACCAGCTCCCAGAGTTTGTAGAGCACTCCACCGGTATCGCAGAGGTCATAGACTCAAATACCATACAAGCCTGAATTTTTTTCAGACCTTAATTTTACTACTGCTTAAGTTGTGTCCATTACTGCGAAGATCGCTTTCATATCCATATCTTAAACCGCAATTCACAAGTATGATTTTCATATGACTTCACAGTAAAGTAAAGTGATTTTGTATGTTTATAATACAAACAAAATTTCGTTTTATGTGATTATAGAATTATTTAATGTTCTTTGTTGAAATTAATCGGTTTTATAGCGTTCCTTCTGTAATTTTTATTCTTTTGATATCATTTTTAGGTAATATTATTTCCTATTGATTATTTTTCGGAAATCAAGTTTGATCATTGATCGAATATTTAGTTTTCCTGTGAAAAATTAATTTATTTGTGTTATTAACAAGTGATCCATTATGGAAAGTGTGCATATTGTTATTCAATACAATACTAGGGCAGGTGGACATATTTAAACTCAAAAGGCTGCACAATGGGGTACTTTTGTGACATTTCTTTTTATTCATGTACTTATTATCTTGTGGGAAAAACTTTTTAGCAGCCACACGTTAGGTTTTTCTATGAAACATTTAATATCTATTGGGGAGTTTTGATCTTTGTCTTGCTCTCCTGTTGAAAACTTTTTATTAAATCTCTAAGTTAGTGTGTATACTATGATTGGTCAGTTCATCAGGCTATGTTTTACCATATGACCTGCTAGATTCAAAAGTTTGTTTGAACTGAAAACTTCCTGATCTCTTTGAATCCAGAGATATCAAATAATTAATTTACTAACCTTGTTTTCTATGTCAAACCTTAAACTCAGTTAGTGTTAAAAGTACACTGTATTTATAAGCTCTACATTCAATCCATGAATGGACTGTAAAAGTCTTTGGTGGAGGATGCTTGAGAAATATTTCCTTGAGTTTCATAATTTTTCCATGACACAACGTTAGTGGTTAAACTATTTTTTTTATTTCTATGAAACAGATGGTTACAAATCTGCATCTATAGATATTGCCATTGCTGGTTTAAAAGTAGCAAACTGTGAGTTCAATCATCTCACTGCATTCCACTTGCAACTCACTCACTTATCACCAAAAAAAACCTCTTATCACTTTTCACCAAATTCCACATGCAAGTTAATCACTTGTCTCTTATTCATGTTATATATTAACCCCTTTGCACCCTAACATCAATATGCATATTCTCCATACTGTTCTCTATACATCTCTGAAGGTGCTGACAATGGGAATTTGTGTAAGAATCAAGAGTTTTTTATTTAGTGATCATTTTCTTTATTCCTGTGACCTTAATGTGTGATTCAGGGATGATATTGTAAGGAGAAAATAGATGCTAGTCTTTCCTAGGGGTCAAAAGGTTAGATGTTAAGGAATTATTCTATGCTAACATATGAAAATTGTTTGAAACAGTGCAAATCAGCAAACTTGATGCAACCAAGTTGTCTCAGGAAACAACGATCAAGGAACTGAAAGCAAACATTACAAGCCTACAAAGTAAGCTGAATAAGATGGAGTCTGAACACGATGATCTTGGAAAGAAGTTCAGTTCACACACAGTGCAAACTGACTCAAAGATCATGCATCTTCAACAGGTTAGATTACACATCCCCTGCTACCTGTATTGTTTATGGCCTTATATAGCTCTGAATAGATTAAAAAGCTCTCACCTTCATGGATGAATTGACACTTCTATTCACAGAGAAAAGTGAAATAAAAATTGAAAAATTAAGTAATCCACAGCTAATGCTTGGTCATTCTTGAACATGCTGTGTTTGTCATAAAACTATCAAGCTGCCATAACAAAGACATAGTTAAAACAAAGTTAAGTTGACCATGTATGCTGTTAGATAATTATAGGTATCAGCTTGATGATCCCAATTTTTAAAAAAATTGGTTACAAGTAATTTGTTATTTATAAAGAGTTTAAAAACAATCACTGTAGGGGGTTTGCAGCCACTTTCTGTTTTGCAATACTGACAGAAAATCAATGAATTAACATTTTTAAGCCATACAGCTTGACATAATTACCACAAGTTGTTTGACTCAAGATGTTGTAACTATTAAGGTACTGTTATGGTGGAGTTGCATTTGTAAATTGATTCTAAATGGCACTTCCTGTATTTTCAAATGGCAACAATCATGCACAGACCTATTTGTTGCCCTCAACCATAGCTTGAGACTACTACACTCGTAGCTATCAGAAGAAATCCCTTACTTTGATAACTTTGAATGAAATCGAGATTTTAAGAACAATTGCAAAAGCTGACAAAGTTGCCAGATGCGTTGAAAGTATTGCAAGACCTGTGATTCAATTATCCTATTTACCTGTGTATAGCACACACTTTTTCATAAAAATAAACATAATTGCTACCCCTATCTTTATTCACATATTCTTGAATTCAGATATTTAAGAAAATGAACGACATGTTTTCAGAATTCAATTACTTTTTAATGCCTTTAAGTTTGTGATTTATCATTTGGTTGAATTTGTTTTGTACAGGAAATTGAGAAACTTTTAAGGGAGAAGGAAGACTTGGAATCAAAATACAATGCTGAATTAAAAAGAGCTGGTGAACAATCTACTAGCAAAGAATTTTCACTGAGAAAAGAACTTGAAGATGTCACAGCAAAGTTAAAGAGAGATCATAGCAAAGAACTTGAGGATATGAAGACAAAACTTGGTATCAATCATAATAACCACGTAATGAATTTACAGCAAGAATTTCAAGATAACTTGTCTCAGAAGGAGAGAGAACTTTTGGAGAATTCGGAGCAAGAACTTGAGAGGTTGCGGATAGAGAAAAATGAGGTTATTGCTGAGTTTGAGAATCATTGCAGTGACTTGAAAAATAAGTTGAGGTCATCTGAAGACGAAGTTGAGAGATTGGAGAAGCTGGTTCATGATAGTGAAAAAGGACTGGGATCTGCATCATCGCATATTGACAGCTTGAAAACAGCCCTTAGTCAGACTAAGGAGGAATTACAAAAGACAAAGACTGACTTGCAAGAGGCTGAAAACAAGTATGCAAAGTCAATGGTAAGATCTCTCTTGCTTGTGAAAAGTCAAACACCCATGAAAATCATGTTGACTCAAAACTGATTTAAGAGGGTCATCAGTATTGTCAGTTGCTGTCATTGATGATTCATTAATAAAAGTCTTACTGGCCTTCTGTCATAATTATAGCTTGTAAGGTCTCTTTGAAGGAATTTTGCACCATAGAATTATTGCATGGCAATCAATGTCCAGTAACACTGAATAAAATATGTGAACACTTCTCTGAAAAAAGCCAGGTCCACACAGCTGTTAGGGCCAACATGAGGAACTTATACATATGTCTTTTTTTTAATGTTTTGTCTAAAACAAAGCAATAACAGGTTTGGAAGATACCTCCTTTAAGAGACTTTGAAGGAACCCTTGTATTTGCTAGTGGATATGTTGTACACTGTTGTTAGTGAATATAAATCTTAATAATTTTAAGCTAGTTTAATCTGCATTTTTTGTAGTTCCATGTAAATTGCCAAAGCTCAAAAATAGAGAAAACAACAAAACAATCAAGATTAATATTGTTTTACCTATAATTCCATCTTAACTTACAACAGATATCTTGAGAATATCATTGATTGTACTTATTGGTAGATGTTGT